GCTTAAGCGGTGGGCAAACTTTTTACCAAACAGCTTTCATTTTTCCATGGCAATATTTTCCGAGAAATATCTTTTCATTTTTTCAGCTCCAGTTCACCCAGCTTCCCTATCCTCCGCACTCAGCACATGTATTGAAAGAGCACAATATATAATACAAACATCGTAAATATTTACAAACCGCTGGGCCACGATGAAAGTTTTTCAATTTGAACCGCTTTAAAGTATTTAGCCAAACTCTCTTTTCCCAGGCTGCCATCTCTCATCTATGCCATTCAATTCGAACAAATTTAAATTGTGAGAAAAGCTGGTTAAATCATTAAGAGAAATTAAAAACAAACAAGAAACATTTTCAAAAAGACTGGAAATAGTCATCATTGTTTGATTTTCTATTTTCCTTTACAGCTTTTCATAGCCTAATGTGTTTTTAATACAATATCTAAGGGGAAAAAATATGCGAATAAATACGAGCTACTAAAATAGACAAAGGTTTTATATTTAAAAAACTTATTTGAATTCGAATGGTACTATGGTATTTACGATTTATTAGAACCATTAAACATTATGCCATGCTATTAAATATATAGCATGAACAAACAAATTGCAGAAGTTAGAAACAAATTTTATTATATTATATTCTCAAACTTCCCCATTCACGAGGGTTAATACTTAGACTTACAAAATTAATATTCAAGCCAAGCTAGACTTTAAACTATTTCCTTGATCTCTGATCTAACTTACCACCTATTAGGTAAAAATATCATCGTAAAATTATCAACATTAATCAAACATTTTCACACCTCCAGCGAAGCAATACACTGTCCCCATTCAGCTTCTGTCCTGGGCAACAATCCTGAGTCTTTAGCTTCTTTGAATTTGTTTTCCCTGTTTGTGTAAATGTTCGTATTGTTGACATTTGCTGGTCATGAAAAGTCATTAAATATATTTCTCTAATTTATCTTTCGGCTGTGGCAGCTTTGGTCGGTGGTGGTAATGGCATTAAAGTAAAGTTGGGCAAAGTGAAAAGAAAGCGGAAATGTTTGTCTGGCCACCGATGCTCGGCTTGGTTTGGTTTGGGACCTCTGCGGTCTGATCTCGGACCACCCACCTTTCAACCCTTTCGTGTCCGCTAATTAAAACTAATCCCAAGGAAAGGACCGAGGAAAGGACACCCTGAATGGTGTTGTTATACTTTTCACATAACTGTCAATCAGTCTCACAATTAAATGATTGAAGACACTCAGATCGGGGCTTGTTATCCTATATCCATATCCCTCATAAGTTCATTCTGGCTCTTAGGCAACAAAATGTAGCTATGCGTATTTGTATGGAGTACTCGCTTTTTAGTTGGCCTGAGCTGGTTTAGTTTGAATGCATATCAAGTGGATGCAGATACAAAATGTTTTCATGAGAAATTGACTTTTTCCATTGCTCCAAAGACGACGTCGTCGTCGGATGTCTGTTGGCTGTTGTCTTCCTTTGGCCGGAATGATTAATGGTTCTGCTCTTTGCGCATTCGTCGGCCCACACCCGCGGCAACAAAAAGACATACACATCTACATCCACATCCACATCCACGTCCAGCATTTGTTGCTCCGACTGTATCTGTATCTTTTTGTGCCGCTGAATGAGAATTTTTACTGCATCGCGCATCAGCGTTTGGCGTTCGGCGTTTGGAGTTTTCAGCTACTGAGCCGCCGCGCCATTGTCTCCCAGTTTTTATTGTGTCTCCCCCCATTTTTGATTGAATCCGCCTCGGCACTTGCAGATACTTGAGCGGATCGCCTGGCCTTTAAAGTTTTAGCCAACTCGTTGCCGCTCAACCGCAGAGCGCTCACATAATTTAAGGCCAAGTCAAGGCAAAAGTTCCCCGTCCCCGGCTAGACCGACCGAAAACCTACAAGATAAATTGAGGTCATTTTTTGCCAGTGGCCACCTTTGGTCAGTCCGGTGTCCGGGTTGGAGTTCGGGTTCGGGTTCGAGCTCGGGCTCGGGCTGGGCTTATGCTCTGGTACGGGTCCACCTTGTTGACCGGCCACAAATGTCCTTAATGTGCATCCTTATGGACTGCGGTCATGTGCAAGTGGTCGAGATGGTCGAGCCCAAAAAATTCCGCCCCTCCCCAACTACTTACGTAAGTGTTCACGAGTAGTTAGCGCTAGGCAAACAGCCACGAGTGTACCATTCATTCTGAAAATTCGCTGCCATGCGAGTGGGGAGCGGATGATTTAGATGGTGAGGTGGGCACGGTACACTAAAAAGAACAAATGTTCTGAAACACATAGCATTTAAATTATAATAATTTATGGGAAATCAGGAAGCGTCTTAGCCTACAAGCATTAAATTCTTTGGGGATACACGAGAATTCTAGAATGTATGATTAAATGGGTTTTATGTATCAGAAATATATGCATTGGTATAAATTTTCATGGAAAATAACACATTTTTTTCTGTGCACTGATTATAATATGCATTTATAGCAAAAAACTTGACTATCCCTGGCGCCTTTTGACCATTTGTGCAATTGTTGCAAAATTTACGCTCATTTTAATTCCAGCCCAAAGGAGCGGCAAATGCGTTAAATGTTTCGCTCCTGACCAAACTCTTTCCTGCCGTGCCGCCTTGTGTTTTTGGTGGGTTAGTTTAACCCGAAATATAAACATAAATCCTGTCCTTCAGCAGGAGAGGTGGCGAAAGAAAGGTCCTGTTGGTGGACAACGAGTGCGTTTAAGTGTTAACATGTAAATGATGCTGTTGAAGCAGTTAATAAGTGTATGCCCAGGGCTGTAAATCATCAGGAGCGTTTCCTTTCCTTAGAAATTTATTTTATTCGCAGACCAGGGCGTAGATTTACGAGCAAATAATACCAAGTGATGATTGCGAGAATTAAACTTGGAGCTTCTCGCCCTCCCACCGAAAATCATCACTCCAAGTAACCTAATCCAAAGGCAGCTGCAAAGTATCCTTCGCTCGTAGTTTGCTGATAAGTTTCCATTCTGACTTTTCCGGCATTTCATCCATGCTGATGACATTTCCAATGTCTCCCCAGCCCTCTGGCCATGACAAAACAAAATTCATTTTGTAATTTCCAAGCCACCTAGAAAAGGCCATAGCCAGGCAGCTGTCATTTGGGGAGTTGGCGATGTGGGCTGGATGGTTGGCTGGTTGGTCGGTTGGTTGGTTGGATTCCATTTTGACCAGGCTGCAGAAATTGCACTCAACTTGGCTGCCTAGCATCTTTCCCACTCCCCCCTTCCGCCTTCCGCCTCTGACTACTGACTACCGCCCTCTGGCACTGCCACGCCCTCCGCCCGATTCGGGTTTAGAAAATTATCTTTTTGCTTGTCGTCGCCAAAAAGGAAATCATATTTTCTGCTTTTGTGCACTTTACTTTTCAGTTTTCGTTGGCTGCCGTTGGCTGCCACTGCCTCCAGTTTCAGTTCGCTCGTAAACAGTTTTCGGGTGCAACTTTTGTGCGAAATTTATGCTTTCATTCCGTATCTGTATCTGGGCACTTTTCGCACAAGTACATGCGACTTGGGGCTGGGAAATGGGAAATGGGAAATGGCCCTTCGCCTGAATCCCTGTGTGTAAGTGTGTGTGTGTGGGCCCCACCAGGTGGTGTTTATGGCATCCGCTCTGCGAGTATTGATGAAGGAACTCGGGCGCGCATCTGTAATTCAATCAGTGTCTATGTCTGGCTCCTCGTCCTGCTCCTGCCAGGATCCTGTTCCTTTCGCCATTTGCCGCTATTGAGACTCTGTTTACGCAGCCCGTTCAGCTGGAAACGTTGTGCTTGTTGCCAAAAGGCAGGTGGCGAAAGAATACAAAAATATTTTGCAATCGCATCAATGCAAATAAGGTGGCACAAGTTGAACTGCGGGAAAGGTAGCAAAATGTCCTGTTTCCTAAAATGATATGCGCATTTCTTTACTACTCAATGCGAGTTTTATTTGGGGAAAATTTATTTTCGCTGAGTTGATGTCCCAGCAGTTTACTGATCCCTATCATTAGAGATGTTAAGCGGTAAGGATTTTATATCTCGCTCTATATGGCAGAATATTCTGTTTTTAGGTAAGTTTTACTCGTATAGTGGCTTAGGCTCATCTTTTAGGCCCGTTTGATTTCGAAATTAACGGAGTTAGCTTTAACTTAAGGACATCTTTTAAAATATATAAACAAGATCATACAAATGGCAAAATTGTTTGCTATTAATGTTTGCTTATGACTTATATTCATATGTATATAGGAAGCGACATCTGATTTGAACTGTTTGTGCACCTCCCAGTAACCTTAAACATATTAACAATTGAGATATGTTAAAGCTTACAAAATGTTGGGCATATAAGAATTTAGCAATACTGTTCTGGGGTTCATTTAACTAATATTATACACATTCAAGAGCGAAAGATTTTCCATTTGATGAAGACCTGGTTTGTCAAAGAATAAAAATATATTTCCCTCTGCTATTCAAATTAAGTTTTTCACGCTCCCCCTGGGAGCTATGTACTTTCCACCGAAGCTGCTGGCTGAGGCTTCCGTTTGGTAGCCGAACCACTTGAGAGCCCTGCTGTGGGCACGTCTTTGCCTCACTGATTGATTGATTAGATTTTTGTTAATTACTTAACGCTCGAGCTGCGGTGTCGCGACTCAGCGGCGAAGGAAAAACGCTCGAGAAGAGCGACTTACGGCGCGGCATCAGCTGCACTTTTCGGCAGGATTGCTGGAGAACGCTGAAAGTTTTCTTATCTAGTTGGGCGAGTTTCGCTGAATTAGTTATGCCCTCTGACGAGCTGATGGATTGATTACGGGCGGAGATAGAGATGTGGAATCCTTGAAGCCGGGTCTCACGGCGAATGCAATTTGTTGACGCATGTACCGTGGCCACGCCCACACGGGGACATGTTGGTGGGAAACGTCGAAGAAGAAATACAAAAAATTGAAAAAAATTCACATTCACTCCGCAAGTCTCAAACGAACAAAATGCAATTTCTCAATTGCAGCTGAATTCGTTCCAGAAAACGGCCTGCCCCGACGACTCCGCACCGCGTACACCAATACCCAGTTGCTGGAGCTGGAAAAGGAATTCCATTTCAATAAATATTTATGCCGCCCAAGGAGGATCGAGATAGCAGCCAGCCTGGACCTTACGGAGCGGCAGGTGAGTGCTCCGCAATGCAATTTATTCCGCTGCATTCGCACACGGCAGCGGAATTCCATTACTCCGCTGACAAATTGCTCACTGCCAGTAGTTCTCGCTGCTCCTTCCCCCATTTTGCCACTTTTAATTGCACACACCTGGACGGAACTCAAACTAATCCCATCTCTGTTGCAGGTAAAAGTTTGGTTCCAAAACCGCCGCATGAAGCACAAGAGGCAAACGCTCTCGAAAACCGACGACGAGGACAACAAGGACAGCCTCAAAGGTGACGATGATCAGTCCGATAGTAGTAAGTAAAGCACATATGTACATGATTGGTTGTGTAATTACATTTAAAAGGGGTTTATTACATACATTACTTTTACATTTAAAAGGCGCTTTATTGACAATTGTAAAATGTGCTGTTTAGCCTGTTCGCAATGTTAAGCATTAATTATAAAACACAACATAAAATATTATTGAATATGAAAGCAAAGTGCATTGGCGGTATTTATACAGCGTCAATAAATTTGTTAACATTTTGGAGATATTTACCAGTGCTAGCAGTTACTCTGATAACCTTGAAGATATTTTGGAGATATTTATCAGTGCTAGCAGTTACACTGATAACCTTGAAGATATTCTTCAAAACGGGGTGTAGCTTAAGAATGCGTATGTTATTGTCCCATTTCTATTTCATCTTTTATGTAAAATTATTCTGACCATTTATTCTGACTATTTATTGCGAAATACTCAGCACAAACACTTGCAGCTGAATATCAAATAAAATGTTTTCGATTCGTATACCCTAAAAGGATTCAGAAAGCAAAGAAAACTGTACCAAAATTTTAACTCGCTCTTGCCAACAAGTTGTTCCACTTTTACTTTTCGGTTTTGCAAGGTTTCGTTTCTGAGGCTTTTACGCTGAAGTAAGAGATGGTGTAGCTTATCAATCATTGTCAGAGCATGGGATGGGATGGAACGACTTTTGGCAGGGCGGCCCTCGACGTGCTAACCCCTTTCGCGTGAGAGTTCCGAGTTGGTTCTCGACCCTCCGCTCTCCTCTAGGTCTCCCACTTACGAAAACAAATCATCAATATTCCTGGCCATATACCTACTGATTTGCCTTCATCCTATCTTTCCGTGAAATGCAGACTCCAATTCAAAGAAATCGTGTCAAGGCTGCGAACTGCCCTCCGATGATATACCCGATTCCACGTCAAATTCCCGTGGACACAACAACAACACGCCGAGCGCAACCAACAACAACCCAAGTGCTGGAAGCCGTAAGTTTTATTAAAGAATGTGGTAACATGTCTACGATATTTTTGACATACCCAGTGACTCCAAACTCGTCCCTGGAAACGGGCATCTCCTCGAACCTGATGGGCAGCACCACCGTATCCGCCTCAAATGTGATCAGCGCCGACTCCAGTGTGGCATCTAGTGTGAGCCTCGATGAGGACATTGAGGAGAGCCCCATCAAGGTGAAGAAGAAAGACGATGGTCAGGTGAGTCAGTCACCTATAGTGCGCCAGTTGTTTGACAAACTTAAGGGTTATAGAATAGATTATATTTTTGCAAATAATTTAATTAAGTGCGAATTTTAAGATTCAAGAATTTCGTTTTAATTTTATTACTTGGCAGCAATCGAATAAACAATCTTTAAGAAAATTGCTAATTCTAAGATATTACGTAAAAAACGGTATAATTAAACTGTTAAATATATTTGGCATATTAACGATTTACTAATCTTTGAAGTACATGACAAATTGTTTTAATGCTGCACTTCAGGTCATCAAAAAGGAGGCGGTATCCACCTCGTCGAAGGCGTCGCCCTTTGGCTATGAAAACTCCACTCCCAGTCTGGTCAGTTTTCGACGGGATTCAGATGCCGCCGCCGTCGGAAATGCACCCACCAGCAAGGCGGTCGGCAAGAAACGCTTTCAGAGTGCCACCAATGCCATTGCCACGCCCACGCCTCTTTCGGACAGCAATAGTGGAAACGGAAATGGAAACGGGGGTGGAGGTGGAGGTGGCCCAGCTGGCGGCTACTTTCCAGGCTATTATCCTAGTCCCAAGCAGCAGCAGCATATGCAGCAGCAGCAACTGCACCCGCAACAGCAGCAGCTGCCGCAGCAGCAGACGCAGGACTACTACGGCAAATACGACATCGAATTCGCCGCCTCACCGCACCACAATCCGCACAACAAGCAGCAGACGCTGCACGGCGAGTACCTAAGTCCCAAGCCAGGTGCGGCCAATTTCCACCAAAACAGTCAGCAGCAGCAGCAGAACGACCAGTTCTACTACAACTACAACGACACCAACGGCAGTGCGTACTTGAACCACCAGCAGCAGCACCACCACCACCCACAGCACCACCAGCAGCAGCAGCACCACCAAAACCATGTAGCCGACTTTGAGGCGCCAGTCAACGGACCCAGCAACTTCAACAATGGCGCCTACTACGACAACATGAGTTTTCAACAACAGGCGCAGGCTCACCAGCACCAAACGGTGGTCTTCCAACAGCAGCAGCCACACCAGCCAGCGGCGATTAACCACCAGTGAGTAGCAAGATATCAATCACAATGTCTGGTATTAATTGCATGTGGATTTAGTGCCTCCATCTCTGTAATTTCAATTAGTTAAGCTAAGGAGAAACGCAAGTTTTATCCATGCGTTTTCATAGATCTGTCAATGTTTAACTTTAACTATTTTGTAATATCCTAAAAACACCTGAATTCGACGCAAATGCAATGACATTTACGCTTACGTTCCCAGTCGGAAATCGAATACTTCAAGTACTAGTTGGTTCCGTATTCCCTACCACGTAATTTTGAATCCAATCTTTTCCAATTTTAATGATCAATTTTGGAATCTTTTGCGTGTTAACCAATTAGACCTCAGTAAAATGGATTTGTTGGCGGTAAAATTTTTTTTTTTGATATTTAAGTTTCTAAAATTTACCATACGAGACAAAAAGAATAACATAATTTTATCATAAGTCAAATATTTTTAAAGGCTTAGGTAGAATTGTTAAAGACCCTTCTTATATTTAATGTTCGTACGCATGCAAAGCGTAATTATTATTTTAAATAATATTTAAATAATTATTTTTTTATTTACTTGGCAAAATATTTTAGTTTCTCCAGTTTCTTGGTCCTAACATGGTTTTTTCTCAACCATCAGGAAACTAAAACACTTTCCAGCACTGCTATAGTAGCCAATACAAAGCCCGACATGGTTCTGAGCTTCGGCATGCGTTAGCCGAAGCACAAACCACTTGCGCCGGGTGACATAACACCTAGCTCCTGTCAGCTGCAACCGCCCTCGCGAAAATCTGCGTCTAATACTAGATTATTTGGCTATCAAGAACGTAGTGTCTATTATTATAAGCTGCAGCAGGCTGGTCTTCTGGTTTTTTATCATTTAAAATCAAACCAAAAAATGTAACAATGTTAATAGACAGGTCATACAAGAAAGGCTTAATTTTAAAAGCTATCAATAAGAATGTGTCCTAGCTGTATTTTATTTTGTTTCCGTTATCTAAAAGGTAAATACTTTAGGCCATACCCTGCACGTCTGCCGTTTTCACCTCGAGTTCTGATCCTTGCTCCTTTTTCGCTCCACAGGCACATGCACCACCTGGGAACTGGGGAGACATATAGTGCTCTAGGGCTGCAGATGGAGAACTGCGAGGGCTACAACAGCTTTGGGGCCGCCGGCAGCAGTGGTGGGTACTACGAGGCGGGTCAGCAACCTCCTGTTCCGGCCGCCCACGGCCATGGACACCATCCCCACCACGTGCAGGTGCCGGCTCAGGCGCATGCACACATCCACGCCCACCACAATTCTGCGGCGATTCCCGGAGGAGTGGGAGTCGGACCGCCACCCTCGCACATCCACGGATTCGCCATCAATGGGGGACCGACTGGTCAGGGCCAGGGATTCGGGAACAACGGAAGCACTGCAGCTGGGACCGCGGCGATCAGTGGGCTGGAGAACTCCAATAGCTCGGACTTCAACTTTCTGAGCAACCTGGCCAACGACTTTGCGCCCGAGTACTACCAACTCAGTTAGTTCATGTAGGAACCGAGCCAGAGGCCTGTGTAAATATTTGCTAGCCTAATTCGACGCGTGGGCGTGAGTCTTGTAATTCTATTCAGTGTCGTAGCGTCGTAAGCACTTTGTCCTTAGCACATATCTGTACATAATAAGCTATTCCTCTTTTTAGTCTAATCAAATCCAAACTGTCCTGATTTTCTATTGGCTTCAAGTCAAATGATGCTCTATCTTAAAATTCCATTTAGAACTACAGAACAGACAACAAAATTGTAAATAGTTAGAAAAATTGAACGGCTTTCGCAGAAGTCTACATCAATGAATATAAATTACCGAATTGTCTTTGATGAACTGGGTTTTGTATATATCTGAAGTAGCTTTAATCAAAAACGTAAACAAACTGTCAATAAACCGAATGTAAAATTATAACTAAATGTTTGGATCGCTCTCAGTCCAAGTGCAATGTCTTAATGAAAAAATTTAATTTAGAATCTTAAAGCACTCTCAATTATTTGGATGTTTGTCATGTTCGTTGATCTAAATTTTTCCATAATAGTAAACAAATATATATTATAAATATGACTTAAAAAATAATGGAATAGATATCTTTGTAAGGAGAAAGAATAAAAGCTAATTAAGACAAAAAACTTTCAGAATAAAAATATCTTACAAAATACTAAAGCCGACATGGGGATAACGAAAATGCGGTTTCGAAATGAATTTCAAGCCCTCTTAATGCTTTGCGCTTTAGCGAGTATCTTATTAATAATTAAATCCTAGACTTAGTTACAGCTCTTAAAGTAATAGTAAGTCGGTAAGTCTTGACATTTCTCTAGATGATGATTTTTTTCGAAAACATTGTTTATATAGTTCGTATAGGTCTTCACCACATTTGTGGTTTGTGGAATGCATACAATCTAAAACTGTTATCATTATTATTATTGTTTTAGTTTATCATATTTTCCAAAAACATACATATATGGCAAGCTCATCCTTTTAGGTCATTATCAAACCTTCAAGCTTAAATTACTGTAGTTACTGTAATTAAAAATTAGAGAAGCCAAGAGGGAAATACTTCACGCATACTCCCTACAGCAACTTATCCCACTGTATTGAAATTTAAACCCCTAGCATTGTTTCTAGTGTTTTCCTGGTGAGCATCTTAACCGGTTATATACTTCGAGTAAAGTATTTGACTATTTGATAAATGGTCGTATAAAATGGTTGCATTTAGACAGAATCCGCGTTTTTCTGAATAATAACTTTACCACATTACAACTTTTATTAACATTACATTAACATTTCAGACAGGCGCTAATGTTTCTGTTACTTTTTTAGCCTTCTTGAGCTGTCAAATATTTCTACATGACCTATACATACATTTTACAAAATGTTGTATCCAAGGCTCCCACAATTTTTACCCAAGTTGCAAACCTTTTTTCAAATTGTGCTTTTAAAAAGAAACGTCTTTTCATTTTCAATTTGTGTTTCTGATCACATGGTGTAGGCTTGTTTATTGCGGTAAGAATTATTCAGTCAAAATCTAGTAAGCCGTTTGAAAGTCCTCAGTGTCCGATTAAAATTTGCTTGGAAATACTTTAACTAAAGTATTCCACAAAGATCAGGAATCGACAAACTCGATGCGACATTGGAACATTGATAGTATAAATGTGTATTATAAAAACGGTTTTGAAAAACCTCATACAAATGAAAGTATTATTTATAAAGGTTCTTCTAAAGGTTCTTATAAAGGCCTCTCAGCAGTCAAAAAATCGATGTGTACATCTATTAAATAGAAGATATATTATATATCTTCAATATACGATTGAGAATTGTTGAACGTGAAAAAAGTCATTTCCAAATCTAAGCTGTTTGTTTTTGCTTTGAAAATTTGAAATTTAATAATTTCTGGACCACAATCATAGCAAGTTTCATAGAGAATTAAAGAGAACGCACCATCAATTTTTATGCAAATATTCTAAATAGGATTATTCAAAAGGAATAGTTAGTGTAATATTTCTGTACGCCATGACTCTGGCCTCGACGCACTTAAATTTGCAGTGCCCTCTACTCTTTTGCTTTATTAGGAGAAAATTAATGGAGATATGTACAATCAAAATGTGGAAGGGGAAAGCCGGTCACTGAAGTTCCGTTTAGCAAAATCGTATTAAAATGGGGCAAACGATAAAATCGTTTATGTCATATATCCGTAACTCACTTTTATAAGCACACATGCATATTTCACAGCGATCTGATATGATTTATTATTCGCTGATAGGTTTGGCCAACGTCCAGACCCGAATCGAATCATTCGAGTGTAACAAATAGATCTCTCAATGGAATGGAACGAGTGAAACAAAAAATCCAATTTGACTTTAAGACTCAAAGTTAGGAATTTCAATGTCGCAGCTAACTTCAATTAATTGGCCACACAGCCACTCTAATTGAGCCCTCACGAAGCTAAAGTAATTAAATTGTATTGGCTCGTGAATCGAATTGAGCCACAGGAAATACAAATCCTAAAGGACGGACACAGTGCACTACACTTTTAAAATGTCAAATTTACGTTTATATTTAGTAGTCGCTCGTAAAACTATAACAATAAAGGGCTGGGCAATGGGAATGGCAGTTCTTAGTGGTGGTAGGCAACAGCGGGGGCGGCATAGTGGGTGGGAGCAGCATAGGTGGCATACGCAGCTGGGGCAGCATAGTGAGCCACTGGGGCCACAGCCTTGACCACAGCGGGAGCACCGTAGTGGACAACGGGAGCCACGCTCTTGACCACAGCGGGAGCAGCGTAGTGGGCAACTGGAGCCACGGTCTTGACCACAGCGGGAGCAGCGTAGTGGGCGACAGCAGGGGCGGCGTAGTGGGCAACGGGAGCGGCGACGGTCTTCACAACTGGAGCAACGGCGACGGCCTTGACCAGGGGCTCACGGTTCACGACGGCGTTGAATCCGTTGATGGGGTCGGCGGTGTACTGGACGGTCCTCTTGTAGCCGTCGGCGTCGATCAGGGAGTACTCTCCGCGGACCACGTCTCCATCGCGCTCCTCCACCTGTGCCTTGTTGTCGCCGGTCAGCTTGTCATCGACTCCGTAGGAGAAGCGGTACTGGGGGTGGGGGTCGTATTCCTCGGCGGCCTTGACCACGACCTTCTGGGCGACGGCCACGGGGGCGTGGGCGTAGGTGGCCACCGCTGGGGCAGCATGGTACACCTGGGGAGCGGCGATGGGGGCATAACCGGCGCTGGCCACGGCGACGAAGGCGAGGGCGAAGACGAACTGGGGAACATATTCGTTAGAGGAGCGGGTTTTGGTAGGATGCCACAGGACTCACCTTGAATGCCATTTTATGTGGTATTGTGGGTTGGATTTGTGGGTTAGTTCTTTGCAGAAACGATGCTGAGGGCTGAATGATACGGTTTCTGGCCGGCCAGCGGTTTTATAGCCCACGCTTGCAGTTTCTGCTCAGGTGAGGCAAGGTGTCTACACTTGGCCTTCTGAATATCATGCTCCAAATTAGCGCGAAGTCACCGCTCAGCGAAGTCAGCGGCAAAGTCGACAGAGACGCCGGCAGATAACCGAGCGAGGAGAAGGGATTGGCGAATGCGAAGTGCAGTCCAATTATTTAGAAAGGATTCGTCGGATTCGCGCGGGATTTCCCTTCTGCCAGGTGCCCACGTTAAAATTGGTGGCTGGGAGGGGAGTGCATCTGCTAATAGCGTTTCGATAATCCAAGATCTTTAAAGGATGGGATCGTGGATGTCAGATGGGTGGCCTTGATTCTCAAAGACTCCGCAAAAAGGCGTACATACGGCATGAAGCAGCAATTTTCAATATACAACATGTAAAGAAATAATGCATTTAGTAATATATTTTTAGCTTTCATGCCAAGCACCCCATAATTTATTAATTGAGTGTATAATAGAATTTTGGGTATTTAGATGTAGTTATGCTTGTAATTCTATTGGATACTAGCCCATATCCATTAGCACAACATAGAGCAAAATAGTGTTATAATTGTTATATTTATTTAGCAATTTAGGTTTCCAATCGGGTTTTTCAGCAATTACAATCAATTTGAAAATCGCTAATATTTTTTAACAAGATAAATTTCATATCCAGCTCAGTTACATTCATTCAACTTTCTAAGAGAATGTACAGAACCCTTTCAAAGTTACATAACATATAAAAGATTACAAATCCGTTCGTATAATTATCATTTTATCCTAGGAATATTCGAAAAACCTTAAGCAGATTACAAAGTTAACTCCGAGAATACGAAAATCTCAGAACAAGATAATAAAAACTTGCGATGTGTTCTGCAAGAATAAAATACGTAATCAGTATATCTTCTTAAAACGATCATATGCAGCGTTATATAACAAAGAAATTACCCACGCATTGGGACCGGCCAATCCCTTCGGTATAAAGCAAACCTTTCCCCAAAGATCTTTCACTCTTTCGGTGCTGACGGGCTAGAATCTGTAGCCAAAAGTGTTTGCACACCCACAGAGCTTAGCGCCACGAACAGGAAGTACAAGTTATTGCCCCACAACAGCCGCAGTCGAGAAGCATTTAATATATTTCGCTGTCACCGCGAAAATAACGATTGCTGTCGGCGTATTGGGCCAAAGCAGAGCAGAGCTGGCAGCTTGGCTTACTATAAAAGTTGTCGATCGGACACAGAAAAGTATCATTCGCAGATCCAGTTCACTTCTGTAAAGAACTACCAATCAGCACTCCTAGTAACATGGCCTTCAAGGTGAGTCATCTCGATGCAAATCCGGGATCAACTGGATACGACGTTTTGGTTCGAGATCTAACGCTTTTTTATTCAGTTCGTCTTCGCCCTCGCCTTCGTCGCCGTGGCCAGCGCCGGCTATGCCCCCATCGCCGCTCCACAGGTGTACCATGCTGCCCCAGCGGTGGCCACCTACGCCCACGCCCCCGTGGCCGTCGCCCAGAAGGTCGTGGTCAAGGCCGCCGAGGAATACGACCCCCACCCCCAGTACCGCTTCTCCTACGGAGTCGATGACAAGCTGACCGGCGACAACAAGGCACAGGTGGAGGAGCGCGATGGAGACGTGGTCCGCGGAGAGTACTCCCTGATCGACGCCGACGGCTACAAGAGGACCGTCCAGTACACCGCCGACCCCATCAACGGATTCAACGCCGTCGTGAACCGTGAGCCCCTGGTCAAGGCCGTCGCCGTTGCTCCAGTTGTGAAGACCGTCGCCGCTCCCGTTGCCCACTACGCCGCCCCTGCTGTCGCCCACTACGCTGCTCCCGCTGTGGTCAAGACCGTGGCTCCGGTTGCCCACTACGCTGCTCCCGCTGTGGTCAAGACCGTGGCTCCAGTTGTCCACTACGGTGCCCCTGCTGTGGTCAAGGCTGTGGCCCCAGTGGCTCACTATGCTGCCCCAGCTGCGTATGCCACCTATGCTGCTCCCACCCACTATGCCGCCCCAGCTGCCACCTATACCTCGTACTCGGCTCCCGCTGTCGCCTACCACCACTAGATCCTGCGGAAATCGACGCTGTACATAGATAGAATTGTTGGCTTTATTATTACTGTTCATTTATTTATTGACAGCACCAATAAAAAAATGCATACCAGTATGTAGACATATATCACGAAGAGCAAGAGTGTTTTGAGTTGCTTATTCTGAATAAGTAGATTCCAGGCAAAGGACTCTCAGAGGTCGTTCACATTGTCCTGTTCTGGTTTGCATTATTTATGTGCTTGTTTTCATAACGAGTTTTGCTCTCAGTGTGCGAAAGTTCACAGACATCGTAGGAGCCAGCCTCGCCGAAGGATTGCTGCAGTCTTAGGGCAATGAAATTCCTGTGGTGCTTCTGGTGGTGCAGTCTGGACTTTTGTTTAGCGATCCTTCAGGGATGCTGCCAGGGGCAACGAACTGCGTTGGCTTGCTTGATGATTTCGTTACGAATGCGGATCTTGATCCTGATCCCGAGCCCGAGTCCGAGCCCGATCCCGATGCCCTGTCTGTCTGAAGGGCAGACAAATTTCTGGGCTTTGTGTCGGTCATTTCCATTTAAATGCAAGGACTCGTCCACCGCAATGCAAGGAGAATCCCTTTGTTGTTGATTTTTGTAATATAAAACGGAAATTATGGGGTCATGACTTTACTTGCCGGGTGATAAATGGCTCTACCACTCATCGGGGGAGCTGAGAACTTAAATTCGGACTCTTTCTAGTTTGAGGCTGGGTTTTCCCACAACTGCTATGAATCTTTAGGGGAGCTAGGCAGCGTGCACCTGTTGTTTTTTCTAAAGAACGATTCTGAGTTCAGGGCTCAGAGTGCAGAAGGGGCCCTCCAAGGTCAGACTTCGAGTGTAATCTCAGCGAGCCAACTGCTTCCTTGGACATCACCCTTTCTTGCAGCCGAAGTCCGACTAATCAAGTGGAAGATTTCTGATTTTGGGTGCTTCGGGTCGTCGATACGCAGCCTAAACCCTTCTCAACTTAACCATCGTCATAATCATCCAGAGAGCAGAAAACAACAATGCAAACTGACAATGCAACCGGGCAAAAACAGAAAGCCCAAGCCCAAGGAAAACAAAGGGAATAGGGACAAAATCAAGAAACATGACCGACGAAGTGAGTTAAAGGATCGTCGAGCATCAGCAGGGTAAACAGGCTTTAGACCGCCGACTTTCGTATAAATAGCAGGCAGGGCTCCTCGTTGGCTCATTCAGTGTTTTGTGTTGAGTCCGAGAGGTTCGGGATCAGGAGCAGCTTGCGATCGGCCCTTGGGGTCAGTCAGACCAATCAAACCATCAAAAACTCCCCTTTGGATACATGTATTCTGGATACAGCCTGCCTCCACAAAACGAAATGGAAGATACATAGAGGTACTTAGCGGGGCCTAAAATGTAGTGATACAAAAGTAACAATTTAATATTTAATTGATAAATTAAAGGTCTTTTATTATTTTGTACTTTGATGTTAATATTTTATACTGTTAAATGTAACCATTAAAATTTTTTCAGATTTAACCCTTTTGTATCGGCCTTGCAGCTGCTAACTAAAGATAACAAAAACCCTCATGGATTTGGCTACCACATCCCAAATCAACACCGTCTTGTTGACTATGACAACCCGGATCCGTCCGAGAACCAAGAGCCAGGCTCCATAGGGCTAGCACCTGGGCAGAACACCACTTGGCACTCATCACGGAACATTGAATCGTTGGAAGGCCGCACAACACCGCACATCAGCCATCCACCACCCATCCATCACCCACCAAACGTCGTCTCGGCCCTTTGGACAAAATTTACATTTGAGTTTAAGTTTAGGTGTAAACAATAAACAAAAAACAACAATAGGCTACCAAAAAAAGAGAAAAAATCCCACCGAGTATTTATTTTTCGGGTTCCTATCGCCTTGCTTATGTCGGCTTATCAGAAGTTGATCAAGAACTTTGTCAAAGGATTAGTTAAATGCCAACAGTTCACTGAACTCGTGGCTGCGGACGTTAAAAAGATTCTGGAAATTGTTTTATTTCTGAATTGAAATTGTTTGTTGTTTTCTCCATTTAATACTAATATTTATATTTAATATTTTAATAGAGATTCTGGACACACCCACATTTTATACCTTTTGCCGTCACCTGCGTGACTTTTACTTTGCACTGGAATCTTAAAAATAGTACACAAATATTTCGTTAATATCTCTCAAGAAAGGCCAGAGTACGAACAATAATTTATGTATATCAAGGTCAGGTCCGGCATCAAAGCCTATAAACTGTGTGTGAGCCGATTGCCACCAGAAATCCAGCAAACAGTCAGCAGATTTCAAAGGTGTACGCACAGGTGCTGCTGCCGATGGTATGGCGAGTAATGCCAAAATTGAGACATGAAGAAAATGGTAAGTGGACTGGTTTCTGTGCAAGTTTAATTGGCTTTATTCGAGTCGCCGGCTGGACAGCGGTTACTCCGCACTGTAATCGCCATAAACTATTTCCAGCTTAACCCTTGGCAAAGTGCGCTCGCCAATGATTAGGCCAAACAAGTGCCAGCGTTCAAGTGCTCGAGTGTTTCCCTCGGAAATTAAGCAAACTAAATTGTAATTAACAGAGGTTTTTTCAACAGTTGTCCAACAGAGACAATGCCTTTAGTTAGCCGGCCGTTGACGGTCAGCAGGCTACCGAAGTGATTACTTTTATTATTTTCAATACAAATTCGTTCCGTTGGAATTTTTTAATTCCGCGCAGCATTGACCCCACAGTGGGAATCGTGGCTGGTCAGGGGCGGAGAAGCCTGCTAATTAAATTAGGCCGAGCTGACGGCCACTCCTACTTCCTTGCTCTCGGTCTAGCCTATCCTTCGGGGATACGGTTGTGCTGCGGATGTACATTTTCCAACATTATTTGGGTTTTAGCCGCCACTCGACTTCGACACCCGGACACCCGGACACC